AAGAGTAGAACCCATATGGTCTAATATGTAGGTCATTTGACTTCCATTTTCAATGTATCCAACACCATTTTACTACTCAGCATTTTACTACTCAGACATGATTTAGTCATTTAGTGTGGTAAAGCAAACCAACCCCCAAACTCAATGGCTGTGAATTCTTGCTTCTCACAGGTCTGTGGGTTAGCTCAGCAATTCCTCTGTTTGTCTCCCCTGGGCTCACTCACGTGGTTGCATTTAGCTGGAGAGTCAGTTGGGAACTGGGCTCCGCTATGATGGCTGAGTAGCTGGGACTCCCTTTCCATATGCTCTTTCATTCTTGGCTTCTTCATGCCATGGTGATGTTAGGGCAGCTTTTCTGAGAGGACAAGCCCCATGTGTATGTGCTTTTCAACACTCTGCTTGTGAACGATCTTGTGATGACCGCTGTCAAGGTGGATGACATGACCAAGCCCAGACTCTGTAGGAAAAGATTATACAAGGGGTGCATATCAAGAAGAATGATTCGCTGGAGGCTATTATATAATCACTCCAACCCATTTTGTGGTTATCAATTCCAGGTTTGGCCAACCAGTAATAGTTGGCCCAAAGTTTCCACCCAAAACCTAAATTTTAAATGGAATATATATCTATGATAAGTGATATGTATTATATATATATCTAAAACTTCATTTGTACTTTGCACATGTGGCTCTTTAATAAATACCCCATGAATGAATGAATGAGTCATATCATTAATGGTAAGAATTTGCAAATGTCCTATAACATTAAAAATCATAGGTTGAGATTTCTCAACAAACTCCTTACCATGAAAGCTGGTTTTTCATAGAATGCAAATTTTTTAAATACAAGAGGTACATCTTTGATTTTCTTCCCTTTGCCCCAATATAGTGTCAAATATGGTTCTTCAATACATACTGGCTGATGGGCTAAATAAAAGTACACTTGGAATGTTCTTATTTCTTTGATAAAGAACATGCAGTAAGCTAAAATGAGACTGTTCTTCTTGCCAAACGTCTTCAATTAGAGGATGCTTGCTGTCACAAATAACAGAAAATCCAGCTCAACTGCCTTAAACAATAAGAAAATGGACATCCAATAGGCATAGTCTGAAGGGACAGACTGACAGGCTCCCCTTCCCCACATCAAGTATTTTACATTTTTACCTACATCAGTCCTATGAAGTAGCTAATATAAACCCCATTTTTCTGATAAGAAAACCAAGACTAAAAAAAAAAAAAAAGAAAGAAAAGAAAAGAAAGAAAGAAAAAGAGAGAGAAGAAAAGAAAAAGAAAAAAAAAGAAACCAAGACTCAGAAAGATTCAGCAAACAGCCTAAAGTCACTCAGCTACTAAGTGGTAAGATGGTAGAGATGAAATTTAAGTCCAGGTCTGTAGGTTCTAAAGACTGATCTTTTCATTATACTGCCTCACAACTTAGCAAAACATCTGTTTAATTTAATTAGACTTCATTTTCATTATAATATCTTCCCATTGATCAAGTCCAAACATTTTAGGAATGGGGGGGTGGCTTCTCCAATTTTCGACTTTTGTGTTTCCCAGGAAGCTTCCTAGGAAGCTTCGAAAAAATCTACCTCCTCTTCCACAAATCAGCTCTACTATTCTATTTTTAGTAAATGAGTTCTAGCTAGTCATAAATTGTGGTTTTACTTCCACTCCTGGCTGTTTGCTACATAATCTCTGCTTCAAATTATGTAATAGGTCATGTTTACTTATTTTAGCTGTATGTTACCATGCAGACAGTTATTTTTTTTTTTAAATATAGAATTCTTTGTATCTAGGCTTTAAAGTTCTGGTGGTGACATTTACATTGTCGTGTATATGAATAGTACCTCCTAGAGTCCTATAGTCTAGGCCTGTGTGTGGCAGCTTCCTTAAAATCTAACTCCAAGGGGAAATGTGCAGTGGGTGAGGGTATGTTATTTGATTCCTCCTCAATTCCAAATGTGTGGTCTGGTTTCTTCTCTAGTCATATACTATTTGGGTGATACCTGGGAAATAGATCAAGTTCAGGGTCAACTGTTCATATACCTTTCCTGTGAAATTTGAATAGTATCTTCCACTCGAGCAAGAGTCTAAATTTAAAATAACCTTTGGGGGCTTCCTTGATGGGGACAAAAATGAATCTTTGAGTTGCTTATAGCAATGCAGTTTCTGGGGATTAAATTCTGAGGTGATGCTCTGAATTTCTTAACCTACAAGTGCCTCTGAAGATGAAAACGAGGTCACCTAGATCTACCTTCAAGTGTCAGATTTAGTTAAGATTAGAGAAAGTTCCTTAGCCATGGAAGTATTTCACTATGAATTGGGCTTAACCAACTCTTCCACAAAATCTCAAGAAAATATAGTTTAATTTCAAATTAACTACATGCATATGTATTCTGTATTTTTGACCCAGATGGAGATGTCTTAAAATTTCTAGATGGCACAGATGAAAATCTCTAATAGATTATAAAAATCAACCCCCAGTTTGGCAATTGGATAAAAGTTTAGACTTGCCCTCCCATAAGCATTTCCTCTTCTTTTCTTAAAAGAAAAAATAGAAGTCTTATTTTTTTTTTCACCCTTTTACCGTGCAACTCATATCTTCAGCTCCATGTCTAGGCCATCATAGTGGCCCCATTTCCCTTGCGGTGGTCTGCTTATGGATATATGATATGGTTCTGGCCAATGAGCCATGCAGGAACATCTGCTCAGGATGTCTGTGAAATGTTTCTTCTTTCGTATAAAGAGTTAAAAATGAGAGAGAGAGAGAAATTTTTCCTTCCTTTTCTGGACAGGCTGCTGCCTTCAGCTCAGGTCATGATCCCAGAGTTCTGAGATTGAGTCCCGCATCCGGCTCCTTGCTCGGCAGGGAACCTGCTTCTCTCTCCACCTCTGCCTGCTTGTGTGCTTTCTCTCTGTCTCTCTCTCTGACAAATAAAGAAAGAAAGAAAATCTTTAAAAAAAAAAAAAAAAAGGTGATCACGTTCCCTCCCTCACTCAAAGCAGTAAGGCTGTGGCTGTTCACTTAAAAAAGAAAAAAAGAAAAAAAGAAAAATGAGAAGGAGCTAGGTTTTGATGATGAAGTTATGAAGCTACTCAACTAACCAACTTTGGAACAGCTCTACCACTGGACTTCTTATGTGAGAAAATAAATTTAAACCAGCTGAACCCATTTTTCTGTTAGGGTGTGCTCAATTGCAGCAACAGAAACAGCAACTCAGCTGTCTTAAATTCTTAGTTGGGAGCATTCAAAGAGACACACCAGGTCATATTTTGAGTCTCTCTGTGCTTCTGCCTCCATCGCTGCCTTTGCCCATTCCCCGCTTCCCATTAGTTGGTCATCATTGGAATGACTGCTTCAGTCTCCTGAGGTTGTCAGATGTTCTTTTTCAGTGACCCAACACCCTGACTGGAACCCTTATGAAAGCACATGTGCTATCTTGCAGTAATTGTCAGATTGATTTTAAGGTCTTTGAGGGAAAGATGTGTGTTATTCATCTTAGTATGTCCAATGCCTAACACATTGCTTGGCACAAGATAAGGAATTAGTGTTTATTAATAAAGAAAAATGCCAATAAATATCCCATGCTAATGAATAAAAATAATGTCATGAAGACAACTGTGTTCTCTTTTTGGCTAACTTATTCTTGGTATATCACACTCCCTAGTATCCTAAGCAGGGTGCGGAGGAGTAAAAAGATGAAGGAAAACCTTTAACTCCAACATTTTTTGACAGAATTTGGGCAAAAGGTAAATCAAGCTTAGTGGAGATTTTGTAAATCTTGTATCCATTCTATCTTTGCCTGACTCATATGATGAATTATTCAACAAATATGTGTTGAGTGCCTAGTACAGGTCAAGCATTAAGACTTTGGGATACCTCAGTGGAGTAAACAAAGAAAGCCCTCAAAGAGCATTGGCTCTACAAGTGAACTCTAGCAATCATTTCCCCTTTCTCCATCTTAGTTTGGCATTTGTGCACCAACAGGAGGCACAGTCATGGAAATCTCGCAGATTCTCAGATGAAAGACACTGGTAAACACGTGGATACCGTGTTGGTAAGTGCTGCCACTTCTTTCTAGAACCAAGGACAGTTAAGAGGAGGAGGTCACTGATTAAATCTGCTTCTTGCCTTTGTTCTCAGCAATCCCCACCAATAGGCATTGCCTTCATTTTTCAAAAAAAGGAGTTGTATAGATACTTGCAACATGGGGAGGGTGCAGCTTTCTTCCCAGCCACAAATTTCCATGAGGCTCCATCTGGGACAGTGAGCCCACCACCTCGGTGTTTCGCTTTTCTAGTTTGCTGGGGACTCTGCACTGAGAAGCTCCACCTGAGCACAACACCTTAGCTGTAAAGGCTAGTTTGGGCACAGGCACAGTTTCCTGCAGAAACTGGGCGTGTTTGGAAGTGTCTAAAGGGAAGCTTTTATGTGTCCCTCCTACAACCCCCAGCTTCTGTTGAAGTGATGACTAGAAATAAAGGCCACACTGATTTTCTTCTGGGAAAACACATTACCATGGGGAAAAAGTACTAATTGCTCTGTGGGTACTGTTTTTATTTTACAAATACTCTGGTTCTGCAGTGACAGCACGATTACATTTCTGACAGCATCACTGGTACAATCTCCAGGCTCCTCAGGGAGAGCAGTACCGGGATTTTTTCCTCCAGGAAAGAAAGGCAAATTCTCTGGTCTCCAAGGTACACTTGATTTAAACACGACTCAAAATAAGTAAAAACGGATGATAGCACAGCAAATAATGAAAACTTGACAATTTAGCTAAACCAAAAGATCCTATCCAGAACACTATGGGAGCGTCAAAGAGAACTGCAAAAATAACTCTGTATCTTCGACTGTTTTTACAACTTCCCAGTGGCTCAAACTCTCTCGTCTCCAAACTGGGAAATGTGAGAAGAAGCTGGAAGAGTAGGAAAATGTAAACATTAGAAAGAAACAGTTTAGCATGGGGACAACTTCAGGGCCAATATCAGAGACTCTCCTGCTGGTTTTGATCTAGATAGAACCCGGCCAGCCTCAGGTTACGCGGAGGCTGTGTGGCGGCGACAGATGACCCGTCTGGCCACCGAGCAACTAGAAAGCGCTTTCGCAGGAGCAGGGCAGCGGCCGGGGGCGCGGCGGGGGTGGGCGCAAGCCGCCCTCCACCGGCTGCTCGCGTCTAGCGTGGTGGTAGTGGGGGTGGGGCCAGCGGTGGCGGTGAAGCGCTTGGTGGCCCCCGGCCCCCTCATCGTCCTCCGCTCTTCCCTCCCACGAGCAGCAGACTGCGCCCAGGCGCCTTCGCAAACGCCGCAGAAGCTGGCAGTCGCCCGCCTGGAAGAAGAGGTAGACGAAGGGATTGAGGGCGCTGTTGGCCACCCCCACGAGGTGCAGCGCCGCCGCCAGGTCCTCGGTCTCCCAGTCTCCCACCTGTCCGGACGACCACGCGGCCGCCAGTCGTGCCGCGAAGTAAGGAAGCTCGCAACTCACGAACAGCAGCGCCAGCGCCAGGCTCATCTTCAGGCTCTGGACCTTCGCGCGGGGCAGCGCGCTGGGCGCAGGGGCGCGGCTGGGAGTCGCGGACCAGGGCGCTGAAGGCCGTGGGGCGTGGGGCAGGCGCTGCCACCAGGCGCAGAGCAGGCGGCTGCATGCTACGCCCATGACCGCGACCGGCGCCACGAAGCCCGCGACGGCCTCGTAGAGCGCGTACACCTGCAGGTGCCAGCGCGGTAGGGGCGCGAAGATGTCGCGACAGCGACGCTCGCCCGGCCAGGAGCGGGCGGCCGAGGGCGCGGCGGGAGGCGGCGAGGGGGCGCCCCCGTGCACCACGAAGGCTGGGGGCAGCGCCAGCAGCAGCGCCAGCAGCCAGCCCAGCGCGGCGAGGGCGCGCGCGGGCAGCGGCTGGCCCTGCGGCCGGCGCACTGCGCGCTGGCGTTCGAGGGCAATGAGCACCACGAGATGGGCAGAAGCGCCGCGGCCGGACGCCTGCAGCAGCTGCACGAAGCGGCACGAAAGGTCTCCCGCCGCCCGGCGCGGCTCGCCCAGCAGCTCCCAGGCCAGCTGCGACAGCGCGGTGCCTCCGCTCGCGTACAGGTCAGCCAGGGCCAGCTGCACCAGCAGGAAGTCCATCTTGCGACGCTTGGGACCCGCCCAGGGCCCGCCACCCCCGCATAGGCGGCACAGCACCGTGGCGTTGCCGGCCACCGCCACCACCAGGATGACCCCCAGGAAGACCAGGCGGATGCTGCGGCTGGGTGGTCCGGGAGGCGGCGGCGGCGGCGGCCCGGGCACTGGGGCCCCCTGTCCGGAAGTGAAGTTGAGACCCCAGCCAGGAGAGACAGGTACGGAGACGTTGGGCGCTGGCGAGAAAGTTGAGGGGCCGAAGGGATCCTCCATCCTTAGCCTGGGGGAGAAGGAGGTACGGAAGCGGGCGGGCAGGGCGCGGGAAACCCGGGTGGAGTCGAGGCTGCGAGGGGCACGACGCCTGGTCTACGAGTTCCCAAAGTTAGTTGAAAACGCGCGCACACACAGGAAAATGGATTCGGGTAGACTTGCGCTTAGTTGTTTTTATAGGTGGTCCTCGTCATTTGTCACTCAAATGTGGGTTGTACACTCGAGCAACACACATGATTCTTATTCTCCACCTTCTCCGTGTCTCTCCTCCCAATCCCGCTGGATGCCCCTCCGGTCTGCGGTGGCTCCCACCGTGCGCTCGGCGTAGCTCCGGAGTACAGAGCTCTGGAGCCTCTCGGGTTAGCTATTTACGCGTAGAGCACAGCTCTGAGGGGCAGAAACTCGCCTTGCCTGGCCTTTGCAAAAAGCTCCTGTTAGCTGGGACCAACATACCAGAGAGGAAGGTTCTGACCGACATTGTACCTCTCAAAATGGTTATGGATTACCAGTAGGCGGGGGGGGGGGGGGGGGGAAGAACAGACACTAGTTTTCATTAAAAAAATAAAATAAAAACTCGAAAATGCCATGGATCAGCATGTACTAGCATGAGAAAAACAGGAAACACAAGAAACCCAACAGCGTTCGGGGCAAAGAGGGGCCCACTAGATGAATCTTTGATAAAGATATGCCTTCCTCTGACCAACAATGAGAGTATTTACTTGCAGAGAGCTAAAGTGATGATATTGCTTGGCATTTAGGAGGAGCAGCGATTTGCAGATGTTTCAAACACTCCTCATTACTAAAGCAGTGGATCACAGCTGCTCTCTCAGCTATGTAAAATTCACTGCATTAGTCTGAAGAGGGCATTAATAGGTTTTATGCAAATGGTAGTACATTTGTTGATTCTTCTCTTAATATTTCCATCCAGTGACGGATGTGTCATCATGGCTCTTCATTCTCTGTTTTCCAAGCAGATGGAAATTGCTGGGAGGGAGGGACTACGCCCCCAACAAGCCTAGAGAAAAGGTGACTAACAAAATGATAAGATGGCCAATTTTTAAAAAAGAAATCCAAGTCACAGGAAATGGTTTCGATTCAATGCTGTCTCTTTTATTTTAGCCCTATCTCCTCACAAACAAATTTCAGTTTTCCTGTTGGAAGCAGGGTGGACCCTCCACATGATCTCTGTGCAAGTGGATTTCCTGGGTTTCCTCGTCCTGGCATCTGCTGGGATTCACTGTCCCAGGCTGAGGACATATTTGGCACTTTAAGCTGCTCCAGAGAAGAGGGTTTGGTGGGTGTGGTTGACAGTCCTTTTCTTGCCTTGAGGAACCCTAATCCCAAACCAGTGTCCTTTGGCCAGAGAACTTTGTCATTTTTATTATCCTCTCCCCAGAGCCTAGCACTGGGCTTGACCAATCTAGATATCAGGAAATATGTTTCAAATTGCTGAACTAATGGATATATGATGCATTTCAGAGAACTTTGAGCAAATGTTCCTGATTTGACGATAAATCCATCAACCTGAGGAAAAGAAATGTCTTTCATACCTAGGCCAGTATCACCCAGAGGGGAGGCTCTGGAGAGATGGAGGGAGAGCCATTCTTGGTGAAAAAAGAGGTAGAGCTAGAGCCCTGGGAAATCAAACTCGTGGTTTAATTTTCACATTCTCCCCCCAGAGGGTTTTGCGGAGGCCTTTTTCTTTGTAACATACATCATTCCAGCTTACGATTGTCTTCTTCCAGGCAGCTCTTTCTGAGCAATACCCATAATTCAATGATTTCTCTAGCCAATATCAGTTTCATGTTTCTCAAGATAATTCTATAATTTGTCTCACTTTGGTGAAATGGTCTCATATAACAGGACTCTACCAGCAAAATTACATTCCACACAACTTAACATTACTAAGACCTGATAGATCATTGATTGAAAAAAACTAATTCTTCTCAATACAGTATGTACACCTCGTTTGGAAAGTCCACTAGAACTAGAGGGCTGGCAACAATATAGTTTTCCTGTCTACATATCCTCACTCCTCCCTCCCATCTTCTGAGTGGAACCAATTTAGAATCGATTTGCTGTTTCTTCTGGCATTTACTTCATTCCAGAATTCTAAATAGTAAATGCATAATGTAGTAACTATTAGCTTCTCATTAGATAATTTCTCCTTTCCCATACTTATTACAGCAATATTGTAATTTTGGGTTAGATTTACATTTAGTGTATACATTATTATGAAATAAAAATATTCTCAGGTGAGTGTTATAGATATTATGAATATCATTTTCTTTTTCTTGAAATTAATAATTGCATTGAATTTCATTGTCACATAGCTAATTTTTCCTATACCTCTTAGTCCCTCAGTTCAGTTTTGTAACATAATGTAGCAATTCCAGTTTATTTTTCTTGGAAATTTTCTTACCAGAGACCTCCATCCCCGCCCCCTCTCCATGTGGGCTGGTTTCTCTCTAGGCCTACCATACAACTATCATCTTAGAGTGTCGTCATCACTGAAACTCTGCCTTTCTTTTGGGTTGGAATTCTTGTTTCTTGAATCTCTGGTCTTTTTTCTTGGTTTCTTTCTCTTTGGGTAGAACACATCATCCAACACGTCATAAGGTTAAAAAAATGGTGCAGAGGCTGAGGACATAGCGGTGGGAGTCTTGTAGTCACGTAGAATCGGTCATGTTGCCCTCCAGGACAGCTGTTACCCAGGCATCTCCCTTTACCATTATCCTGGAGACTCCTTTCATTATCTCATGCTGGGTTTCCTGCTTTCAAATTTCATGTGTGTTTTGTTTTTGGTTTTTCTTCTTGGTTTATTTCCCTGGTTGGGTAGAAAGCATCCTTCAGTGGCTTCTTGAGAAAGGATAAATTTTGGGGCTCTTGCATGTCTGAACATTTCTTTATTTTACCATCATGCTTAAATGATGACTTGCTGGGGTTAAAATTCTGCACTGGAAATGCTTTCCTTCTGAATTTTGATGGCATTGCTCCATTGCCTTCTGGCTTCTAAGTGTTTGTGTTGAGAAGCATAAAGTCACTCTGGTTCCTGATTTGTATAAATGTGATCATTGTTTTTTCCATTCTAGAACTTGATTGTTCTCTTGTCTGTGACAATTTCCCAAGGATGTGTTTAGTTGGATCCACTGCATGGATGGTATTTAACTGCATTATTTCTCTAGTGGCCTTCAGTCTAGAAAAATTGCCCAGCCTTTCTTTTTCCTTTCCTGACTCTGACAGGTCTGAAGAGTCCACGAATGTCTCTAAAGTTGTATTTGTTTCCACATAATTAAATTTGGATTAGAGTTTTTGGTCTGAAATACTATAGGGCTAATACTGTGTTCTCAGTTTATCATATTATCAGTCTAGTTTGTCTCAATACAAACTAGATGTTAAGCTTGACATACGTTTTTAACACATAAGGTTTTGGGCTCTGTGCTCATTCTCCAGAGGTAGCCAGTCCATGGTCACTATCCACCTGGTCCACTGAAGGGGCTCCATTAGATGTCTAGCCCTGCCCCCAGTCTTTCTCATGAGTGCTGCTTGAGGTCCATGAAAAAAAGTTCATGGGGGTTTCCCTTGTGTGGGGGGCTCCCAGAGTCTCTTTTTTTCATTTTTTAAATTTTTTAATTAACATATAATGAATTATTAGCCCCAGGGGTACAGGTCTGTGAATCACCAGGTTTACACACTTCACAGCACTTACCATAGCACATACCTTCCCCAATGTCCATAACCCCACCACCTTTTCCCTAACCCCCTCCCCCCGGCAACCCTCAGTTTGTTTTATGAGATTAAGAGTCTCTTATGGTTTGTCTCCCTCCCGATCCATCTTGTTTCATTTATTCTTTTCTTGACCCCCAAACCCACACGTTGCATCTCCACTTCCTCATATCAGGGAGATCATATGATAATTGTCTTTCTCTGATTGGCTTATTTCGCTAAGCATAATACCCTCTAGTTCCATCCACGTCGTCACAAATTGCAAGATTTCATTTCTTCTGATGGATGCATAGTATTCCATTGTATATACAATGGAATATATATATATATATACACACCACATCTTCTTTATCCATTCATCTGTTGATGGACATCTAGGTTCTTTCCATAGTTTGGCTATTGTGGCCATTGCTGTTATAAACATTTGGGTGCACGTGCCCCTTTGGATCACATTTGTATCTTTAGGGTAAATACCCAGTAGTACAATTGCTGGGTTGTAGGGTAGCTCTATTTTCGACTTTTTGAGGAACCTGCATGCGTTTTCCAGACTGGCTGCACCTGCTTGCATTCCCACCAACAGTGTAGGAAGGTTCCCCTTTCTCCGCATCCTCGCCAGCATCTGTCGTTTTCTGATTTGTTAATTTTAGCCATTCTGACTGGTGTGAGGTGGTATCTCATTGTGGTTTTGATTTGTATTTCCCTGATGCCAAGTGATGTGCTCCCAGAGTTTCTATTGTTACTTTCACACACATTGGACTTTTAAGGATTTGTCATAGTATCAGTTGTTTTGTTACCCATTCTTTTGGTTGCTAGTTCCCTTCCCTGCCATGTTCTGTCACAGGTGACCCAGTTTGAGTGCCCACTTCTTCTCAGAGGAGCTTGCCACCCTTTTGAATTCTGGTTACCTGTTGTCTTGCAGCCTCAAGCCTTTCTGATAGCCTCAAAAAAAAGCTTACATTATCTAGCTTTTTGTTGTTGTTGTTAACATGGGAGGAATATTCCCTTGCAACCAACGTCCCTATCCTATGTGAAAGCAGAAATCTAAAACATTATTTAAGGATACCAATACTTTGCTATAACTATTATAAAATTGATGCTTATTTTGTTGTCTAACTTCTTGAACAGTTTATTTCCTCTTAATAATAAAAAGTTTGAGGCTAAAAATATTCTTTTTTTTTTTTTGAGGCTAAAAATATTCTAAGTTCTGGTTGTGTGTCACATGTTCTGAGTTTTCTCCTTTTCTTTATTTCAAAAATAGGATAGAACTCTAATTTTTTTACCTAAGAATTATTTAAGATTCTGCTTTATAACTTTATTTTTTAAATGATTTTATTTACTCATTTGTGACAGAGAGAGGCAGAGAGAGCACAAGCAGGGGGAGCAGTAGAGGGAGAGGGAGAAGCTGACTCCC